TGTCCTCGTGATGCACTGGTGCAACTCGTCTTATCGACCTAACGCATCGCCGCAACGCGTCGTTGTAGCGCACATCCGCAATGCTTCGCTGCAACATATCGCTTCGCCGCAACGTGTTGCGTCGCCGTGACGCTCCATCGCAACGAGTCGCGCCGCACCGCACGCTCGCTCGCAATGCGTTGCATCGCCGCAACGCTTCGCCCCGACACGCCGTCGCAACGCACCGCAGCAAGGCGCTGCCGCAATGCATGGTTGTGATGCACCGTCACGACACACCGCAATGACTAATAAAATTACCTAGAAAGAAATAGAATAAGAATATAAAAACAATTGCAAAAAAGAGAATGCTTAGCAAAGGAAGGAGAGACGCAGAGTTGTAAGAGGCTGAGGGCACGTTTAATTTTTGCATACATGCCCCCTTTGGGGAAAAAAATATTTACATACGATATACGCGCGCATAATTGCGTACATATGAAGGTTATTTGGAGGGTATTTGAGGGTTTTGTTATTGTTATCAGGGTTAATACCCTCAATAACCTCATAAAACCCTTATATCATGGGAAAAAAAGATGAGCGTCTAACCGCGGAATGTATTCGTAGGTTATTAAAAGGTTATTGAAATGTTATTGGGGTTAATACCCCCAATAACTCCTTAATAACCCCCAATAACTGAGTTATTGGAAGATTATTCGGGATCATACCCACACAAAACTGCATGCGTGAACCCCCAATAACTGAGTTATTGGAAGATTATTCGGGATCATACCCACACAAAACTGCATGCGTATGAAGTACGTAAATAGCGGCCCCCTTTAGGGGCAGGTATGCATAAATTAAACGGGCCTCCATTAGAGCACATAGCTCTCATTTTAAATATTTTTTTTTCTACCTCCTTCCCCATAATGTGGCATAATACGAGCTCCTTTTAAAAATTTAGGTATTAAGTAAGCCAATTTATACTAGTTAACACTTGAGCATTATGTCATATACTTTTAATATTTTACTTCTTAAAAAATTAATAAAAGTAATATCATAAATTAATGAAATATAAATAAAGCACACATAATGTGGTCAACAGAAATATCAACCAAAAGTTATTACGTCAGCACTAAAAAGTTCAACCTACGCTGAGCCGTTCGGTCCTGTTTGAAGGCAGGCCGGTGAGTACATCCACTGATTGACGAACACGTGTCAGTATGATGCTTCGCCCTGCGATTTATCGTGCAAGCGGGTCATTATACTAACACGTGGCTTGCCAACAAATATTTCAACATTTATTTGTCAGATTTGCACGCATACCACTCAATTTTTGTATATTTACATGTCTGACATGTAAATTTCAATTTTTACGTTATATTCACTTTAATGAAGCATAAAAATGTGCTTAAAAGTAAAAAATAATAGCATTTTAAATATATGCATATAGTTAGGGCTGTCAAAATGGTTCGTTCGTGAATAGCTCGTGTTCGACTCGTTTGCTAAGTTAACGAGTCAAATACGAACAACACAAACGAATATTTGTTCATTCATGTTCAACTCGTTTTGATTCGAAATACTACTAATCAATTCTATATATAACTTTGATGAGCAGTATATATATCTTTGAGGAGTAGTATTTTTAAAAAAATTAATTGAGTACAAGGCTACAAAGATTTATAATCATTTAAAAGTATTAATGAAGAAAATAGAATAAAAATTATTAAATTAGATTCAATGATATTTTAAATCTTGTCTCAATCCTTAACATCTTATGGCTGGGGGGTTT